ATCTTTATGTTGACAATGTGGTTTTGAGTTAATTGTGTAACCTGTTAACGGTAAGCCTGTGGGGGGGGGACTAAAGGCTAGGAGCCATAGGGGGCGCTGCTGAGAGGCAGGAACGACAGGAACGCTGTCAGCTGTGGCCGTCGTAGGCGGAGGTGACGGCGGGGGTGTGTGCACGTAGACATGGCTGGATGGAGAAACAGATGGGAGGGCCGGCGGGTTTGGCAGGGAGGAGATGCTGGCGGTGGCGGAGTGGGAGATCTAGGAGGAGAAGGCAAGTTTGACACTGCAGGAGGAGTAGCCCTCGTCGCTGGCCATGCTCTGCAGGCTGCTGTGGTCGTCCAGGTCGCTGGTGCTGGCTGTGCTCACACTGTCCAGCTCTCCATGGGAGAACTCTGTGCTTTCCACATCCACCTCAATCTCCTCTGCAGCCGCCAATGTAGAGATGAGCAGAGAGAGGGCGGGGGAAGAGAGAAGAAAGGGAATCATTTAGTGGAAAACATCATATTTAAGTGTAAAGATAATGGGGTTGTCTAAAAGTTAAGGCTGGTGATATTTTATGTTTTTTCTCAAAGTCAACATATCCCAGGAAAAGACCAAAACCAACTCTGCGTATAAAATGCTTAACAATTTGTTAAAGTCAACGCTTCATTATTTACATCACTATGTTACGGCAGTCCTTGTTAATAAATATGAATCCAATTAACATGGCTCAGTTTAACTTAAGGTTGAAATGACATTAACTAAAGATTAATTTAAATTGTAGATTTGATACTTTAACTAACCAAAGCTTTCTTTAAATCCTTTTAGAAAGCATTTTCATTTTACACCTTTATCCGGGAAATTTGTGTTGATTATTTTCAGCAACACTTCATTTCACAAACAGCCCCAGAGGGACGGGTACAACCTCTATGCAGTGTGAAAACCCCCAGAGCGGCTGGAGGTTCATACTGTAAGGCCTTGTACTCGCCAAATTAAAATCCTGTTTAAAGACTGCGGCCTTACTCACCCTGGTCAGAGTCGGAGCGGTCGGAGCAGAGGGTGGAGCCCACACTGTCCATGCGTATCCTCTCCCCCTCCCCTGGGCTGCTCTGGGCTGCAGCACCGCTGCCCCCCCTCAGCAGCTCCAGCTGGCGCTGGAGGTGCCGCTGCTCCCGCTCCAGAGACTCCAGCTGGTACTGGCTCTTCCTGTCTGCATCTTCAAGTTTCTGTTCAGGAGAAAGAGAAGGGGGAGAGGGAGAAAAGGTTAACTATGTGTATCAGAGACCTTTTTATGGAGCGATAAATACGTCTGAGGGTGTGAAGGAGACAGCCAGATAAAAGTTATGTTGTGAAAAGATATAAATATATGACAGAGGAGGAAAGCTGGAAAACAAACGTATTTTGCTGAGATACTGTAGAGACGGATGTTGTTGTCTGTTAAGAAATTCCTTTTATATCAAACATTTCTCACCAAACACTGCCTGTTTGTTCGCATTCAAAGACTAAACCCCTTGCTTCCCATGGTCTTCCCTCCTGCCAGCTCTGGAATGATTTCCCTCGCCCGCCTTGTTTACACCGTGTACCCTCACTTACCTGCTGCCTGTGTTTTTACGCCCTGATACCATGACAATCTAGACCCTCCATAAAAACGCGGGCAAAAATCCTTGATTATGCGATTAAACATGCGGGGTTTTTATGTGATTTTATGAGGTGAAATTGCGGGAAGTTGCTTAATATGCTAAATATGCGGGAAAAAAAGAATAACAATTTTTTTAAATATTGGGCTGTCTTATTTATTCTCTCTCACACACACCCTGCCACTAACGTTAAACCCCTTTACTATTCAATTAAACACATTCAATGTTTATTATTGTAAAAGCAATTGGGCTTTTTTAATCTCTCACACACACACCGACCCCCCCCCCCCACCCCTAACACACACACACACACACACACACACACACACACACACAACACACACACACACACAAACACACCACACACACACACACACACACACACACACAACACACACACACACACCACACACACACACACCACCACACACACAACAACACACACACACACACACACACCACACACACACACACACACACACACCACACTTCTCCGCCTCATTCCCGTTTTCATTTACTAAGTTCGTTTATCTGATCATTTTTCCTCAACTTTGTGTGGAAAAAATGCAGGTATTAAGCGGCCTTTTGATAAATATGCGGCCTTTTAAAAATCTGCGCCATTTTGCTGATTATGCGGTAAATTTCTGGCGATCGCAGAATCGCGTTTTTCTGGAGGTCTAGGTATATCATACATGCTTCACACCATTATACAAAGTTTAGGTTGTCTAATTATTGTGTCCAACTGTATAGACACATGGCAGGGGTTTCAACATCTTCTTGAGAAGCATCAATTCAAGGAACTTTTAAAAGATTCCAGGCCAATTCCCTCCAAAATGCAACAGTTGATTAGATGCTGATTGAGACACACCATGCAGACAGCAGAATCACATATTTAGTAATAGTTGAGTGGATATAATTCAATTTTTTAGAGAATTAATACATTTTCTTGCTGAAACTGTAAAGAAAAAAAAAAAAAAGACTTTCAATGACCTGTCTCTTTATATTTCAATGTATGTATGTATGCATGTACCATTATTTGCCCATCTGATTCATAACCTTAGCACGATGAAATTAATTATTAATTAAAACTATTATAATTGGACAAGGACGCTTTTATGGCTTGTTGAAAGTTTGGGTGACTTACCGATGTGCAGCTTGGAAACCCAATAGTAACCAGGAGCGCACTGGTCCATGACGCTCCGCTGTAAATTGGGGGGGCTGGCAGTGGCATGACCTGATGCCTGTACAGCTGCTGTCCAAATGAGGTGCGAGGATCACAGCTGCATACTTGAGAAAACCAGAGGTGTGACACCTTGTTACATGAAAACATAATAACTAGTAAATTGCAGTTAAAATCAAGGATATAAAAAGTTTGTTACGAAAAACTAAATGCAAGACAATCTATGACATCCTATATTACTTCCATTCAGTTAATTAATAAACAGTTTTGTCCATTTTAACAGTTACAATAAGTAATGAGAATAATGCCGTATATAACTGTAATTATTATAGCTTTTACATATTGTCCATTTCTCTTGCTTGATTTTATCCTTTTCAGCTGAAAAGGTTGAACCCTAATAAAACCCTCATAAAATGTCCCAAGGCAATAAACACTTCCCATAAGAAGGTGCCGTTAAGTTAAGTGTTAACATGTGCGTCTCCATGGTGCGGTTCAGTCTGACGGATATTATATTGTCTCGTTTTTATTACAGTATGCAGCAGTAAACAGGTGCCATTTAATCACTTTAGTTTCTCTGTGTGTGTGTGTGTGTGTGTGTGTGTGTGTGTGTGTGGTGTGTGTGTGTGTGGTGGTGTGTGTGGTGTGTGTGTGTGTGTGTGTGTGTGGTTGTGTGTGTGGTGTGTGTGTGTGTGTGTGTGTGTGTGTCCTGTGTGTCTGTGTGGTGTGTGTGTGTGTGTGTGTGTGTGTGTGTGTGTTGTCTACCTTGACAGTTTGGGGTAAGGAGTGGAATCCAGATCTGCACTGTTCACATCGAGGACCCTGAACGTCAGGCTTACAGAGACAACGACCCGACGCATCGCAGCCTTCAAGGCAGAGAGAACGACGAACTGTCAGGCACAAACTGCAGAGACAGAGAGAAAGAGTTTGTTATTCAGATGGAAACATAATTTAAGTTTGTGCACCAAGCAATCACACATTTATATACATAAGGACATAATATAAACAGCATCTTGCCACATAAGAAACTTGGCAACTGGATAAAGAGCCACTATATTTGGATACTTGGGATGGGCTGTTTTCACTTAACTATAACGCGCACCATTTTATTTTTAATATGGGAACCATAAATATCTAACCTTTTTTTTTTTTTTCATCAACTGCAACATCATAAACCCCAACTGAATATATAAGGACCATAACTGAATGTACAATCCCTACCCTTGCTTATATAATCGTGATCAGTGTAGCTTAACAGAATATGAAAAACATATATAAACAAAAGCAAGGAAAATAGAGTAAACAGCCACATGTCGAACAAACTAGGACTTGGACACGCTCCGGACCGCTGTGACCCGGTACAAAGTCACAATGACCCGTCCCTGACCATCCTGGACTGAACACTGACAGGCTGCAATGAAACCATGAACCACACACACACACACAACACACAAACACACACACACACCACCAACACACACACACACACACACACACACACACACACACACACACAACACACACCACACACCACACACACACACCACACATCACACAATCATAGTCGAATAAATAAAACTAATTATTTTGTATTATTCAGAGTTTGACAGTCTCTGTTCACACAGCTTCAACTGACTGAAGGACAGGGCACATCTGTTTAACAAAGCTTAGCGGAATGCTTGTTTATTCAGGAGTGTGTGTGTGTGTGTGTGTGTGTGTGTGTGTGTGTGTGTGGTGTGTGTGGTGGGTGTGTGGTGTGTGTGTGTGTGTGTGTGTGTGTGTGTGTGTGTGTGTGTGTGTGTGTGTTGTGTGTGTGTGTGTGTGTTGTTGTGTGTGTGTGTGTGTCGAGAAGTGTGTGTGTGTATCTCCTGGGGTAACCTAGGACATCCAGACAGAGTGGGCCAAAACCATTAACTGACAGAGACAAGAGAGAACGTCCTAAGACCAAAGTATACACACATGTGAATAACACAAAATGCTTAAAATAAAATAAGGGTATGACACAACAGTTTTTCCAGATAATAATTAATAAATATCGGGCAGAGTCATCACAATAAAAACAGCTTATTGTATAAATAGTATGTACACACCCCTCACAACACTGACAGTTGAGTCGGAAACCAGGAGGGAGGTGACACAATGTGTCAAAAGAAACCCGGCTTACCCAGACCGCCAGGTCGCAGAGTGCGGGGGTCCGGCACGGAAACATATACACAAGGAAGACACAAAAGGGCCCTGACACAGAACACTCACCAGTCTGGCACACAGAGGAAGAAAACTAAAAAAACAAGCAGTGTTGTAAATAATAAGAACACCAACAGAAAGGTCCGACTACAAAAAACTGTTTTTCAATGCCCATATAAAAAGTCTCAGATATTTACAAAACCATGTCTCTGAAGTGTTTGGCTCCAAATCCCAACAGATCATTGGCAGCATCACATAATGCCCCTCCTGTTTCAGCCCTGCTTCAAAAGTGCTGATTCCTGTGACTGTTGGCTTTAGATGAAAATAAGGAGCCCCTCCCCCCCCCCACGCCCGCTCTGAGAGAGATTTCGGTTACAAAGAACGACAATGGTGGCTCTAGGTAGGAGATTCAAGGTGATAAGTGGGGTTACTTGGTTGGTGATTGGCCCCTAATGTTACACGACGCAAGCCAAAAAATCGTTATGACATCATAAAGTGGCCAAAATCTGATGCCAGCTCATTTTGAGAGCAGGTTTTTAATATAAAATGGATCAGGACAAAAAGAGAGGGGTGCTTTGTTCATGTAAACTTTCAGAATGTCTTTACACAGAGGGGACACATTGTTGATGTATAAAAGACGTGAAAAAGTGGATTTTGCATTAATATATGGACCTTTAGTCAGTTAGCAACTCCTACTGTTATGATGAGACATGAATGATATTTTTTTCCCAAAACTAACCACCCCCTAATCACAAACCAGGCTGATATGAGGGCTGAGGCCTCAGCCAGGTAGGGAGGTGGAGACTGAACACTGTTTGGGTTTTAGCAGCTTATCCACATTCCCTCTGAAATTCCATTCCACACCACAATGAGAGCTTTCCCAAAACTCCCCCAAACATCTGAACTCGAACCAAACACCCACAGCCCCTAAACAAAAGGAGAGGAAACACAGATAGCAGTTTGAGAGTATGAGTCAAGGTCAGTTTGTTGTACAGTAGGACTAACCAATCCTTTTACA